GGGCTTGATGAGACTATATAAGGGGTATATAAGGGTTCTATAGGGTATTAGGATTAGGGGTCCCTTCCCGGGGTCCCTCCTATGCTCCCCCTTAAGCCAAGGAGACGGGAGCTGCGACAATTCGATCTAGAACAGGTCTCCTGCAGGGAGGAGTTTGATCGAGACTTGGCGATGGCCCAAAAAGCCCTAGGTTGAGGTGCAGCGCCTTTTTGTTGGGCCGAGGAGCCTGGCGCGCTTGGGTCCTAGGATTTTTTTTCTCCCGGAGTTGCAAGATGCACCAAGGAAAGTTTATTCATGCGGCCATCTCGAAGTGGTACGGGAGCAAGGTGAAGTTCTTTTGAAGTTTTGGGGCTGAGGGTTAAGGGGGTATTTGGGTCCTAAACGGGAGCAACAGGTTTCTGGGTTCCCGGTCAGGACGCCTTCACCGAGTTCGTGCGTCAGGACCTCCGGCAGCACCTGGAACCTTGTCTGGCCACCCGATTTCCCATGAGATACCTTCTCCTCCTCTCTGCGGCCCAAATGTCAGTCAGCCTGGAGTTTGTCCTGGCTCTGTGGAAGGGCGGGGCCTCGCCCAACAGCATCCTGTCCTTTGCCATCGCGATGCTTTTGGGGGTGGATGTCTTTGTTCTTGCGTGCATCGTTTTTTCGATCAACTACCTTTCTGATCGTTTTGCTGCCCGACGCTTTGGCCGCTTCGATCATGCGCAGACACTTCTGATCCTTGGGTCCTGTTCAGAAGGATGACTTGTTGCTTGTTGGGGTTGAGACTTAGTGAGCATCCTGAACCCTAAACCCTGAAACCTAAACCCTAAACCCTAAAACCTGAATTCCGCGTCAACGAGGATCACGATACTAAGTGGCGCCATTTTCCTTGGAGGAAGCTCCCTCGCGCAGGCGGCCTATGGCTCCAGCCTGGAGCATTGCATCCTCTTCGCAGCTTTGCCCAGCAAGCCAGAGAACTTCAACCATAAGCCTTAAGCCAAACCAAGTCCAAACTTTGGGGTGTTCGTGGTGTGGGGCTTGCTTTCAAAATCCTTTCCCATCCAGGTGTTCCATTTGTCATGCTCGGGGTTGCGGGTGTTTTTGTGACAGGGCCGGGTCATTGGGCACGAGATGAGGGTCGTGAAACGGTCCTATGGTGAAGGTTCTATGTGGGTTTAGAAGGGTTCTATGAGGGTAATGGGTTCCACAAGCGCTCTGTAAAGTTAATCCTGAATCCTGGACCCTACACCCTGCACGGTCTGGGTTGTGAAGTAAGGCAGTGGTTTCCGGTGTGGTGGCTATCTGCTTTTGCTGGCTGGACAAGAATGCGCCGATGCCAGACGTGAGCGCATCGCCACAATGACTTTCTCTCCGGTTATCCTGACAAAACCTGTAGCGAGTCCTCCGACACCTACATACGTGGTTTCATAGAGCCAGAGCAGGTTTGAAGACGGTGCTGGAGTAGGGTTCATCAACCGCAAACCATTTGATCGCATTTTCCGAAACCTCATCTGGAGGTTTCTGGCGATGGTTTCTGGCGACATATCGTTCTTGACGGTACCGCCGGTTTACAGCTGCAAAGCAGCTGTCGCCTCGAGTATGTGTAGGCGGACATACAAACAGAGACACGCACCGAAACACCATAAGATATGAGCCCACCGACGTCATATGAGGATGACATGTGCAGGGCCAGGGATGCACACTCGAACTCTTGTACTGTGGCTCCCCTGGCTACTGGTCTGTTGGCTTGTTGGGTTCAGGATTTAGGGTTTACTCAACCCTAGACCCTAAACCCTAAACCCTAAACCCGAAACCCGAAACCCAAAACCCAAAACCCTAAACCCTAAACCCAAAACCCGAAACCCTAAGAGGGAACCCTGGGGTCTTCAAGGTTTGGGCTTTGGGGGTCGAGGGGCGGAAGCTCTCGTTTCTTAAACCGCAGGTCCCAAGCCCCGGAGCCTTGAACCCAAACCCTACCAGGTGGTTTAGGGTTTAGGGTTTAGGGTTTAGGGTGCCCTACCACTCCAAAACCTGAACCTTAAAATCCCGAAGCCTCCAATCCAAAGCTCGAAAGGCTTGGTGTTATGTGGAATGCGTGCATTTCGATTCCGGTTGGTTTTGTTTTCTCAGTTCGTTCTGTTCCTACGAAAGATATTGGATTTTTGAGCTATATTGGATACCTCGACATCTTCGCCACTTTGCACAAACAACACGGAATTTGGGGGATGCACACTTTCAGACTTGTCGCGCGATTTGTTCCTCTGCCGGCCTCTCGAGGGAAGGAGCCTTGGAAGCTGCGCACCTCGCGTGTCGTTCCACGCGTCCGCCGTCCGTTGTTGACTTCTGGCTGCAAGCTGTTCACAAGGTTTAGGGTTCAGGGTTTGGGGTTTAGGGTTTAGGACCGGGAAGAGCAGCCCCCACCGATGTTTGAAGTTTCCGAAGCACTAGCGACGGTTTCCTGAGCTCGACCACATGTAGAGCCGGGGCCATGAACCCCCTTTTGCCCAAATCCAGAACTCTAAACCCCTTGTCTAAATTCCAAAGCCTGCCCTAAACCCTAAACCCTAAACCCTAGTCGCTCCATATTGCGCCTCACAGACTTTGCTCTCCGTGCTTGTGCCTGGCCATGGGTAAATATGTGCCGGGCCCAAGAGCTGCCCCCGCGATTCTGGCAACTCTAGGGCTTAGGGTTTCGGGTTTTGCTGAGGTTGTCTGTCCAACAAAGCCTTGCAGAGATTGTCGAAAGATTGCAGGGCTCAGGGTGCAGGGTTTTTTGGGGCCGTAGGGTTTCAGAGCTTCGGGTTTTACGGCCCTAAACCCTAAACCCTAAACCCTAAACCATGCTGCCCTGAGGGCCCAGTCAGAGCCTTAAGCAGTAGAAGTCCAGGAGGTCTTTGTGTAGGGCTTTAGGGTTTAGGGTTTGGGGTTTAGGGGGTTTAGGGTTCAGGGTTTAGGGTTTAGGGGGTTTAGGGTTTAGGGTTTAAAGTCCAGGATTTAGGTTCTCAGAATTGATAAGGACTTAGGATGTAGGGTTATCCCACTGCCGTCAAGGTAAAGCATAGGTATTTCCAGCACGACTCACCGCCATCCAATTTTTCCCAAGGAGTCTGCCGTGATGCTTAATGTCTGACTAAGGGCCCCTGTCTTCGCTGTTTTTCTACTTAGGGCCCATATCAGGAATTCAGGGCAGCTTCAGAACAGAACGGGACCCCCTTTTGACGGAGACTCCCAAGTCGTCCTCCCCAAACCCCAAAACTCCATAAGTTTCACAACCGTACATCCTAAACCCCGTGGACCCTCCTCCTCTTCATTCCCAAACTCACTAGCCCGACAATCGCCCAAGCTCTCCCAAAACTCGATACTCAAAACCCGGAGCCAGAAACCCCAAGCCCTAAACTCCTAACCCCTAAAACCCGAAACCCTAAACTCCTCACCCCTAAAACCCTAAACCCCTAAACCCTAAATCCTAAACTCCTAACCCCTAAAATCCTAAACCCCTCAACCCTACACCCGAACACCTTAAACCCCCTTTCCATTCCGAGGTCAAGAAGACGAAGGTTGCCAAGAGCAAATCCACGACGAACCGAGGGTCGGGGCCGAGAAGCTGTGGTTCAGGGCTTGGGGCTTAGGATTAGGGTTGAGGGTTTAGGGTTCAGGGTTTAGGATTAGGGTTTAGGGTTTAGGGTTTAGGGGTTTTGATGTTTGGGGCCCGCTGTTTGGGTTGGGTTGCCTGCGTAGGCTCTTGGGATGCTGGGAAGCTCCGAATCCAAGATCTGAAGACCCTTAAACCCCCTGAACCCTAAACCCTTTAACCCCTAGACCCTAAACCCTGAGCCCTAAACCCCCTAAACCCTTCTGAGCGAGGTCCATGGCTTTCGA